AGTTGATCATCCTCCTTGAAGTGGTTGGGCTGCCAAGTGTTTTCTTCAAAGACAAGTTCGTCTGCACCACTATGGTATGTGCCTGAAAGTAGGGACGAAGACTCATAGCTATAATAATGAGAATGAAGGAGGCTTTCTCAAGGGGAGTGTAGTTGAGCTCAATCTCCCTCAGATCCAACTGACATAATATACCGGCTTCTATGCATTATCCTCATCTTGGATTAAAATAGAGCTAATGGCTTCTAGCGAGATGACAAAGTAGAGATATAGGGTCTCCCCTTCTCTAGGTTAGCTCAACAATGGCTTGATGCTTAAATATCTCTTGAGGCCCCTAAAGACCTCACTGCACTTGGCTATCCACCCCATGCCTTCCTTTAGCTCTTTGCTCTCCCTTAAAGTTTTGAAGAATGAGAGGCTTCTCTTAGCAATTTAGAAAGAAAGTGGCCTAACACCTCTATCTTTCCATTCAGCCTTTGAGCATCCTTCAGTGTGTGGGGTTCAGGTAGTGGCTCTATAGAGGTTATATTCTCCGGCTGATTTCAATGTCTCGTTGAGTAATTATGAACCTGAGGAATTTGTCTGATCACTCCAAAATCATATTTGGTCAGATTAAGCTTCATGCGTTAGCGTCGGAGGACAGAGAATGTTTCTTTAAGGTCCGACAAGTGAGACGACTCTTGCTTTGATTTTGCAAGGATGTCCTCTATGTAGGCTTCCACATTACCTAAAAATATTGTTGACCAACCTCTAGTAGGTGGCACATGTATTCTTAAGACCGAAAGGCATCACTTTATAGCAATAGGTCCCCTAATTTATAATGAATGAGGTCTTCTCTTAATCATACCCTGCCATAAGGATATGATTATAGTTAGAGAAGGCATCTATAAAGCTGAGCAGTTAATGACCCACACTCTCACCCACTAGTTGATCGATCCTTGAGAGGGAGGAGATGTCCTTTAGGCAAGCTTTGTTTAAATTTGTGAAGTCCACGCATGTCCTCCATTTGTCAAGGAAATTCTTCACCAGCATCACATTGGATAACAACTCCGGGTATTGCACTTCTCTAATGAAGCCCGCTTTGAGCAATCAGTCGATTTCGTTAATGACCACCTTCTACCTCTCAGGACCAAGATGCCTCTTCTTTTGTCAAACTGGCTTGATGTATTAGTTGACTGAGAGCTCATGGCTCGCTACTTTGAGGGGATTCCCAACATGTCTTCGGGCCCCCAAGCAAATACATCTACATTCTCACGTAGGAACATAATCATAGTTCCTCGTTGAGGTTCAACAAGGCTCATCCCGATCTTGACCTTCTTTGAGCCATCTAGGTCGATCAACACTTCTTGGAGTTCTATGCCGGGGGTGATCCGCTGCCGTTCCAAAACTTTTTTTATTTGGAGATGTGTCTTCTCGATTGGCAAGGTCTCTAGTATTCATTTTTATTTCATTGAGAGTAGATAGTGGGATCTGACCTTTCGTTGGTTACTCCTGATACCATTAGGAATTAAAAACTTTACCATCTATCGTTGGTTACTCCTGATACCATTGAGAGTAGATAGATGGGACCACCTGAAAACTATGAGGGGTAGTTCTTCCTAGAATAATATTATAGGTCGACTTGATGTTCATCACCAGAAATTGGGTATGGATAATGGATTAGCGAGGGTATTTACCGACCATCAGGGGGAGAGTGATCACCCCTTCAGTTATGAGCGCATACCTTGTGAGTCCAATGAGAGGATCTCGACAAGGCTATAACTTGGACTTATCAATGTCCATCCGATTAAAGGTGTCGATGAACAAGATTTGCAAAACTTCCTCTGTCGACCAAAATCCTTTTGACCTGAAAACTGTTAATCTTGGCCAAGATGATGAGAGTGTCATCATGAGGTGTATCAATGACTTCTAAATCAGAGTCACTAAAAGACATGAGTTAATCCGTCCTCGGCTTCTTGTCGCACAAGTTGATATGCAATGCTCGTCTGGCATGCTTCTTTCTAGTGTTGTAAGACATTCCTCTTGTCGTTGCATCGCTGATAATAGTATTAATGATACTTTTATTGTTGGTTTTAGCAGGCCACGCATCAGACTGCCACTGAGGACGAGGCAATCTGGAGCGAGACCTATTGTTGGATCTCCTAAGAGTGAGTTCTCTCCTTTCCTGCTAAGAGACAAGCCTCTTTAAGAATCCTTTCTGTATCAAGTCCTTAATATCTCTCTGGAAGACTTTGTAATCATTATTGTGATGGCTATGATCTCGATGATATTGACAAATTGCCTGATGTCTTGAGACCAAGGATCTGACTTAATGTGAAGAGGAGTGGAATTGAGGTATCATTCTCTCTGGACCATGTAAAGGGCTTGTGTGAGGGAAGTGTTGAGGTCAATAAGGGCTGGCTTCTTAGCGGCTTCTCTCCTCTGTTCTCTCTTATCAGCACTGCTCAATATGGAACCGGCCCTAGGTGAATCCTTCTCTATCTTCCCTTTAAGAGGGGACTCGGCCCCTAAGTTGGGGTTTGTTGTTGCTGATACTTCTACTTCTCTAGCCGCCTTATGGGCTCAGACTTCTTCCGTGTCCATAAATCCTTGGGCTCTAACCATCAACGACTCATAGTTGGTGACTCGATTCACAATGAGCGAGTCAGCCAACTTATTGTTCTGCAAGCCTTCCGAGATTGCGGCCATGGAGGCCATGTTGGGAGGGTCATTAACTTCTAGCCTATTAGCTTGGAACCTTTGAAGTAGTCCTTGAGGCTTTCTCCATCCCCTTGTCTCATCTAAACCAAGACATGAGAGGGCTTCTTTTTCTTAGAGTTGACCAAAAGTTGATGCATAAATTTTTGGCTGAGCTGCTGAAAACTGTTAATGGACTTCCTATTCAATGAATTCCACCACATCTTGGCACTACTTGTCAAGATGATGGGAAAAGCTCTATAAATGATCGGCTCCAAAACTTACTGCATGCTCATCAGATCACAAAAGTTTTGTGCATGCTCTTTTGGATCATCATTTCCTTTATACTTCTCAATGTGAGGCATCTTGAATTTGGTGCAATGGACATTTATTATCCAGTCGACGAGCGGAGTGATCCCTTTGATAGTCTCGACGATAGCGTTGAATGTCCGGTCATAACCAGATGCTAAGTTAGTTGTGGAAAGATCCGTAGTCGCATAGGAGTATCTGTGACCACATGAAGCAGTCCATGTGATCCGCTCATGGCCATCATGGCCGAAGCAAATGTAGCCTCAGCGTACAGATGGGGCTATCGAGGTGGGGGAGTGAAGTGATCTTACTAGCGAGGTAGAGGAGAGGTGTTCTTGGCGTAGTCCTCATACGGTCACTGCTCGGTCAGACCCACAGGAGGGGGAGGAGGAGGAACGACTGATGGAGAGGGTTGCTGAGGAGAAATCCGACTGAGAAGTTTGTTCATGAAGGAAGCGAACTGCTGCTGGAGAGATTGAGAAATCCCTTGAGCTGACTCCTCCAGTTGGGCTTGAGTGACATAGCATAAGTGTTGGTCTTCAATAAAAGGATTAGAGGATTGACCTATGCAATCAGAACTAGCCATTTTGTGTGAAGAACGATGATGGCTCCACTGTGAGCTTCACTGTGGGTGCCAAACTGTTAATGTCAGTTATTGCACATGGAATTATTTATGGATTATGAGGGGTGTCAGAGCCCTCAAGCTTCGTAAGATGGTTGGTTCCTGAGCCAGAAAACCTATCCTACACATAAAGGATTCATGAGAGGTCGGAGTTGGTATCTCCGGTGGTTCCTCCGACGATCAAGTTAGTTCAAAACTTGAGTGAAGAAGTAAGAGTTAAGTAGCAAATAAAGTTGCTAAACATTGCTGAAAAATAGCTTACCCTAAACAGCAGACCTCAATTCCTTTTTATAGCATATCATAATGGCAGATAGGTAACTTTGACCGAGTCCAACTAGTGGCTTGGTTGTTATCTACTTTACATGTATCGGTCGCTGAAGGGGTTGAGTTATCCAGATATTTAATGTGGGGATGACAGGGTCCATGTAGTGTTGACAAGGTCCGATGAATCATAAAGACTTTCGGGGCTGGAGTAATGATGATTTTGACCATGCATTTAAGGTGATGGCGATTATCTGTCGGAAAGGCGCTCAAGGGTGCACCGCCTTCTCATTCGTCTCCCTGGAGGCTGGAAAACACCTTATTTTTAGTCGGCCTTGCAAGTTGTCGGCCTGGAAGGGCCGAATGCCAACAACAAGTGGAGTCGAGTGAGGATGCTTCTCATCTCTATCCTGCGGGTAGGTCAACAAGTACCGCCTTTTTAGTCGACTTTAAAAGTTGTTAGCCTGGAAGGGCCGAATGCTGGAGTTACTCGAGTCGTCCCTCTGTAAATATGTCTGTTTATGCATAGGGTGGGACACGTGTCGGCTTCCTAACAAGATTAACACTTAAACAATTTTGCAAGCTATAACATATGGCTAACACCTACAAGGGCTGCTTTTTCTGTTTATCCATTAAAACCTTACCAAATCTCACATTTCTCTCTTTTTCATCTCCAGTGGATTGTTGATTGCACCACAACTCTTAGACACTCAAATCAATTTATCAATCTTGCTATTGCTACTACTTGACAATGTAGGGGGTAATGTTGCACCAATATATGATTTGAAAAGAATATGTTACAACAGTTGTCCAACAACAAAAGAAATTCTGAAGCAAAGAGTGCAAACAACATAGAGCGCAAAATGATGACAGAATGAGCAAATTTTAAGAAATTTGGTTAACTTAGACATAATGTAACATATCTAACTTTGGGGGACTTATTAGGAGAACTTATAACATTTGGGGGATTTATTTAAAATATTTAAGATTTGGGAGAGTCATTTGAAAATAGATGAGTGTTGGGGGACCAATATGAGAAAAATACCAAAAAATTTTAACTTCGTAATCCACAATATTGCAACCCCAAAATAGTAACAACATAATTTTAAATTAAATAATAAATAAATAAATAAAGATCCGCCCTCTTGCTTGAATCGAGCGAGAGGGAGGGAAGAAAAGAGCAGGACCAGATAAAAACCCGCTGTCCTTAAAAAAGACAATTTTTAGACAAGGAGAAAAAAAAGCTCGAAAGATCTCTGAAACCCTAGAAAAAGTTTACCGAAAAAAGAGACCCTAATTAATTCGTCCCCTTCTCTGGTTCAACCTCGCAAATCTCCGCTCTACGAATCCGACGATTCTTGATCGCCGCCGGCATGAACAGTTTAGGAGGCGGGTAAGATGAGGATGGATGAAATTTTGCAATTGAGGAGGCAGTCTCACGGTCTCGATCGAGGCAATGGCTACCTTTCCTCTTCTGGTATAATCCTCTAAATTTTTTCCCTCGTTTTCAGTCAATTTTGTAGTTTAGCTTGCTGATTTGTGTCGAATTCTTGGAAAGTGGTGAAATTTCCTCATTTAACAAGATTTTTTGCGTGCAAATTGAAGAACTGTTTAGCCTGTTAAGATTGTTTCGGTTAATTTCTGCATCATGTGGGCCATTTTTTATGAAATGGTGTTGTGCCTATGGTTTACTAGACGATTTGATGGATATTTGTGCTTAATATTAACCCTAAAACTCAGTTGATAATGAGTCTGGAAGAATTGGTGACACGGAAAAATCTGTGCACGGAATTGCGTAATTTCATTTCTTCTGAAGGCATTGTGTAAGTTGATGACCCAAAGATGAACTCCTTCTCGGGATTTACTATTAGAAGGGAAAGTGTGGTATATATCTGGAAAAACATGCACAGCAAATAGGTTAACGACTAAAGGGACTTTTCTTTAACCTTAACAATTGATCAGAAACATGAAGTGAAGAGAGCTAACCTAAAAGTAATTCTATTTATTTATGAGAGACTCATGAGGAGGTTGGACGTTGCTTGAGTATTGGTGGGAGAATAAAAACAATAAATTGACTATAATATATAATAAAGCGATTGACATAGAGAAATGACGTGGAGTTTCATGTCCTTGTTTAGGCACTGCTACTTCCAACAGGCTTGTAGTTGGATTAACTATTCGGTATAAGTCACGGTTACTGATAAAGGATAATGTTACTGTTTTTCTAGAGGAGTTCAATTCTGAATATTTGGCATAGTCGGAATTTTACTGATTGATTGATGTTTTTGGAGGAATATGGTAGATAAGAGATTGTGAAAACTATAAATATAAAATTAAGATCATTAGCAACGGTCTATGGATTTCTGATCTGCAAACTCAAAGTTGGTTAATCCGAATGGGAGACATGGAGGCGATTGTACATGCAACAATTTCTGTTTCTCCTTTTGTTATTAATGTAACAAGGCCACGTTACCGTGTTCACCATTGATTCAACTATTAATTTTCTAAATCTTGTGCTACCTAGTAATAGCATGCTGATTTAACCAAATAAAAAAAATTCTTAGAAGTCTGTCCACAATGTACCAAAGCTTATGGCTATGTTACACGAGTACTTCTACAATGAAGCTGTACCCGTACCGGACACATACCCAACACTTTCCCGTACCCAAACTTCATGGACACTTCTTGAATATATGCATGCATTTATTACAACATGTACTCAATTATACGATATATGTGTTAATTTAAAACACTTGTCAAAGACTTCCTAAACGTAGAGCTTACACTTCACATCCGTCTTTTGAAACTAATGAGATACGGCTCGGATTCGTTTCAGTCCATACCCAAGTTTAAAACTATATAGTTAATGGGTCGTTTACACATCTAGTAAAAAAATGAGTAGTTTACAATTCATGAAAATCAATATGATAAAAGAAACTCAAAAATGTGATATATATATAGTCGTGTCCACGTACCCTAAATTTTACAGTTTTGCCGTGTCCCGTACCTGCACCCGCACCCGTACCCGTGCCCGTTTCCATGCAACTTAGCTTACTGGTCAAGAGGTACTATTGATGTAAACAATAACATCTGTTGGTAATGTTTTTGGTACTTTGGAACCCAATCTAAGTTTGTCTAGACACCTCTTGAGCATTAATTTGATTGATACTAATGGCAGACTTGTCCAAATACCTTAAGCTACCATTAGAATATTCCAAGTAATTATGGGATTGTAAGCAGTGAACAGGTCGTAAACATCAATGAAGGTTGTCATTGATTTGTTATCCAAACCGGAAGTGTTCACTAAGACAAAACATTATTACCTTTATAATAGATGAACAAGTTATATGTATTAACTATCAAATTAGGTACGCACGATGTGAGAATCCATCATATAGCTGTTGGTGGAAGGGGATAAAAGGAAAAAAAAGGTATTAAAAACAGAAAACAGAGTATGCCTCATTATATCAATTACGGCTCATTAAATTCTCTGCAACTAGCCATCGTTCCTTTCTGAACCTTTGTGGCTAGCATCTGTTTCATTGTTTGTTTTAAAATTCTCCTTAAGTGCTTGAGGCTTTGTACCCAGAGTGACCAGTGACCACTATGTGCTTGTTCATTCTCCAGAAGGGAAGGTGAAACCAAATTAGGCTTTTGTAAAGCCAGACGTAATGCTATATTTCAAGGTCGTTTGGTTTGTTGCAAAAATAAATTGCATCAAATGTTGTTGCAGCAAATGATGAATGCCGCATTGTTGCAGGAAATTAACATCAAATTCATTGTTTGAATATCTGCAATTATGTTGTAGGAAATGTACTTCCTATCCAAATTTAGTGTTTGGTTGAAAAACAATTAGTGCAAAAGCTACATAATTTTTCCACATGAGGAACCTTTGGTGTAGATGGTTTTTCCTATATGGATTTAAAAAGATTTTTTTGATGAAGAGGAATTATTTTTATTTTTAATTTTCCTTTCTGTGGAGCCTGCAACTTTTCCTCCCAAGAAATTAGCTGCAGCATTTGCTACAACTTTTTTCTCTTATTAAATTCAAGTCCATTTACATTTCATAATTACAAAGTTGCAAACGATGTTTCTACAAATCCGGTTGCTCTATTTACTCTTGCAACTTCATTTTCATCCAACAAACAACCCCTTAGATACATACAAGAACCTAGTTAGTGTTTATCCATATGGGTCTTAATTCACATTTGTGAGTTTAAATGTGTGACAAGGTGGCAGGACACAACTATCACACCAGAGAAGTAAATGAAGATCTGCATGCACATAATAACAATCTCTACTGAGTTTTTCATTATATGGTAATCTATTTCAATAACTAGGTAATATACAGATATAGTCCAGTCAGCTCCATCCATGGAGCCTCATCTGGCACAAGTGCTTTCCTCTTAAGCTTTCAAATATTATGATGTACTGATATATGTAAAAAGATGATAATCGATATTATGAGGACCGTAGCCCACCCTTGATTTTAGTCCCATGCTTCTTAGCATGAGTTGAGCCCTTTCACATCTTATTCAAAGTGATAGTTATCAAATGATCAAGAGTTATCTCTCTTAAAAGTGATCTTTTCTTGTATACATAAATGGTTGCCTTGATTGCCCCCATCATTTTACTCACGTGGTTTTGAAAAGGCACTGCTTCTCACTGTCAATTGTTAATAATTATATGCAGTCTTTCCTTAAATAGAATATCAGTTGCTAGATTTGGGTACTGAGTTACATGCACATTATGCAATTGTCAGACTCTTGCGCGATGCAATCATGAACTTTTGCCTCCAACTTGTTTCAAATGTGCGCACAGTTCTCTTGATGAGTATTACCATATTCACTGACAAACTAAAGATAGACCTAATAAGCTCTAAAGGAGCAGATTAAAATAATCCAGATAGGAGTGATGGAAGCTTCTCCGTGAATGTGAGGTTATCATACAGAACTCTTATTTGATTTCCAAATTGGCCAACACTCTTGAAAATGGAATTCTCCTAATATCAAATACATAAATCCAGTTATTTGTTTCAAAGAATTCCCAGGTTCCTATTCAAAGATTGATATCCATAGCCACCATATGCTATGCCAAGTTCATTCGTAAACCTTCAGTCCATGTTATTCTGTGTTTTACTCATTTATTCTCAGAAGTCTTTCAATTCAGCTGTAGAAGTTTACTTGTAAAACATTTGGATGATCATGTGGTCTTTCTTTTAGACTTTGTAGCGAGTTATGTTTGCAAAGAACATGTCGTAGAGATAAACACCACACAACAAGTTAATAAAGATGATAGATCTTATGCACGCAGATGAAATCAAATCTTATGCACACAGATGAAATCAAACTTCAAATTTGCCTATGAAGAGTGATGATAGTTAGCACAAAATTATAATGGTGAGAGTAAACAGCTGACGAAGTGCCACAATTGTTGAAAATATCTTCTGTAACAGATTAAATTTATTATACTACAGATGTACTAACATGAAGGTGTTCTAAACATTTTTTTTGTACGTTAAAATATTTCCTCTGTTTGTAATTGAGAATATGTGATGATTTGACCCTATCCTGAATAGATAAAACCCTTATTCCATTTGCTTCTGCATTGTGTTGCCATAGGTGAAGGATCATCTGCATGGATAGGGAAGGGCCTCTCTTGTGTATGTGCTCAGAGAAGAGAAACCGATGTGCGCCTATCATTTGAGTTGACCCCTTTTGAGGTAAGCATTTATGTTCAGAGGCAATGAATACAATACTAAAAATATATCATTCTCCCAACCTTATATTCAGTGCTTTAGATATAGTTTTATATTTTTGTTTCATATTAATATTAACAATGCAATATTTATGGACCTGCTCAAATTTTAGCAGAATATCCCTATCAAATTTCTTATGTCCATGCACATATTCATACTTTCTTGTAAATGGCCTTGACTGTCTGTCTATCCTTGCGACATGGTACTAGTCCAAGTTCAACCAAAGTTGTCTTGGAAAAATCCTCACAACATGGTACTGGCCCCAGTAAATCCAAAATTCTCTTGCTAAAACTGCTAAGTATCTATATTTTGAGGCATCCGAGTATCACACCATACAAATGTTGGTCTTAATTGAAAAATTCTTGGTATGGCGATTTTCTCTTGTAAAACAGGTTATTTTAGTAAGTATGTGGTGGAGAAATGGTGTGAAATGTGTAAGGGACACCATACAAATGTTAGTCTTAATTGAAAAATTCTTGGTATGGCGATTATCTCTTGTAAAACAGGTTATTTTAGTATGTGGTGGAGAAATGGTGTGAAATGTGTAAGGGAGTTACTCAGTCTTTATTTGGTTGTGGGGAAAAACGTGACTTTCACTTAAATTTTGAGATAATATGTACCTAACTTTAAATAAATGAGATTTTAAGAGACACTATAAGAGCCTGCGAAGCCTAGGTGATTGTTGTTGCTCTGGAAACAAAATACACATAATTACCCTTGGTCATTATTGTTTCTCTAGTAGTGAGGTACATATCTTATCCCAGACCATCTTTTTCTAATCAACTTTAATGTGTCATCTTAGGTAAAGTTTATAGTAGCTTCCTAGTGATATTTAAAATCTTTATTTAAGGAGATTTTTGAGTCAATGGAAGTGCTAGAAGTGACTAAAAGCTTGGATCCTTCTCATGCTTAATGTTGAAAAACTTGATACTGTCATCTAATGCGTTTAGATATCTCAGGACTGTGATGCTGGGTCTTGTGCAATTTGTTTATGCACTTTACTCCTTTTGGAGTTTGCTAGAAAACTTTGAAGGATGGTTCTTGGTTAGAAAACCAAGGAGCAGTTTTCCAAGTTGAAGGAGCAGTGTTCCAAGTTTCTCTATTCTTGGATGAGCGAGGACTTGTGAATCACAGTCGATTCTTTGACATAATTTTGTATTGCACAAACACCCAAAGAAGGCAATTAATTATATTGGAGGGTTTATAATATTCTTTTGTTCCTTATGTTTCCCATATTAGGTAATTCATTCGTTTCCCATTTTAGATGATTCCTTCCTTTCCCATTTTAGGTGCTTCTCTGGAATTCGGTGAGTATTTCTACTTCTATTACCTTTGATCTTTGGTTGATAATCACTTCCATATGAAAGAGCTGTATAACGTGACTCATTAAAATTTTTGTATATCTCGCTGCCCATCCAATGGACAAGTCATTCTTGTCTTATAATTTTGTGAATTTATATATAGATTGGGGAGGTAAACCACCCACTTTTGACTTCCCATTAGTGATTTTGTACTTTTGTGGCTCAGGAGAAATGTCTACAGAGGCTCCAAGATCGTATTCATGTTACTTACGACAGTAAAAAGATTGAACACCAGGTAATGAATGTCATCCAGCCTTTTCATTTCCTGTCTAAATAGTTATATGTGGTTTTGATATCTATAAGAAATCCCTGTTAGTGATATTATCAGGTTCTGCTTTATTACACTCTGTCGTGTGAGCTGTCTTTTACCGTTATCATCATTTCGTGAATCTTGTAGGAAGCCTTAACAGCTCTCTGGCATGCAGCTTTTCCTGGAGTTCAATTCAAGGGTTTGGTATCTGAACAGTGGAAGGAAATGGGATGGCAAGGGAAAGACCCGTCTACAGATTTTAGGTATATGATTATCAATGACCATGTAAGGTTGGCCTTTTGCTTTTATTCAACTCACTTTTTTCAGATCCAGGACTGACAAATGGTTCTCGACTTATCGCAGGGGCGGGGGTTTTATATCAGTGGAGAACTTATTGTTCTTTGCAAAGACCTATACAGTGAGTACTTGTTACTTAATTAGTGCTTAAATTGATCCATGCAGAATGGACCATAATAAATCAGGAATGATAGTGTGCACGTTTTCCTTGGAGCTGTTCTCTGATTACTTGACATTTGGTTTACTATTTTTAGTCTCTCCTCCCTCTCTGTTTAAACTAAAAGTCCTGGTCCAGGAACTAAATTTGAAATGACTAAGCTATGCGTGTTATTTTATGACCAAAACTCAAATACAGTAAATATTAGATAACATCATGTGAGCAACACTTCTGCTCCTTTTTTGGTTATATTTAATAACGAGAATGGCTCTGCTTCTTGTAACCAAACGCACCACTAATTAGTGTTTGGCACCTCGTGTTTTGCTCACTATAGGGCAGAATAACCTTAAATCTCTGACAACATGGAAACTTCTTAATAGAAACAAATTGCCAAGAGAAAGCCTCCGTTGGCTAGATATTCAGGCTTCAGATCCCAGCACTGAAACTGCGGGTCCGTTTTACTCTTTTTTAGCTTGGTTAGTGTCGTTAGACATAGAGAGGCATACTAGATCTTGTTTGATTCAGCCATTACGGCTAGGATTAGGGATGTAATTCACGTTTTTGAAGCCAGGTATGCTGGATTAGAATTGATGAGGGCTTTTATCACTGAAGTAAAGCCCCTTGCTAGAACACAAGACAAGTGCGGATTCTATCAGAACCGCCCACATACAAGCGGTAGTTCTGAACCGCACTGGGGAGATATCTGGGGCCAAAATGGGAATTTGCCACCCATTGTGCAGTTTAGAACCACCTGCTCGCATGCAGGCCGTCCTGATAGGATCCACAATCCACAAGGCTGGTTGGACAACAGGAAATCTGGCTCAACCAGCCTGAATGCTGCGTATCAAGGGCAAGGAGAACTCTTGGTGGTTGTCGAGCCATCGCTCACCTATAGCACTTCCTTTAAAGATAATGGATTCCTCTAGTAACATTTAATATTGTCAAATCGGTATTTCAAAGATATTCAACCTTACTCAATAAGAACAGCTTATAAGAGCTCTGCTTCTTGTTCTCCTGTCTTGTAGGTGACTAGCTGATGCTTTCTGTTGTTTTCTTCTTTGAACCCAGAATCATGTGTGTTAGTCAAAAGCAGCCATCGCCAAAAAAAAAATGAGGCAAACTTTTGACAAAGCACCGAAAGAAGAAAAGGGCGGGTCCCAGAGCAAGAAAAAAACATGTAGACGGGCCCTACCACTAATAAAATATTAGTACATAGTATTTTTCCAAACACTATAAATAGGCCCTAAATTTTTAAGGAAAAACTCATCCCAGAAACAATTCCTCTTATAGAAGAATAAGAGAGAAAAGAAAGGCTTAGAGAAAAGGCCTTGTGAGAGAAAATTGTGAGCAATTTTTAGAGTAAAATTATGTTGTGAGTATTTGTGAGAGTGATTGTAAATTTTTTCCCCCATAGTGAAAGATCTGCAGCAACTCGTGGAAGTAGAAAATTTTGTGCCGAACCACGTAAATCTTGCGTGTCCTTTTATTACGCATTTATTCGCTTTCTAGTAAATCTGGTTATAAGGGAATTTGCGTAGTTTCCTAACAACTGGTATCAGAGCTCTGGTTGTGAAATCTATCAATTTTCTGCGAGATTACTATTCACATGAATAGTGAATTTCATGAATAGTAAAATTTTACTGACGGTACCAACTTGTCGGCAGAGGTGTCTTAATACATGGTGGTTCGCAGAAATTGTCAAAAACATTTTAGAGAAATTCAGATTCGAGTGGGAGCGATGACTGCAGACGAAGGAAAGGTGAAAATTAAGAAGTTCGATGGTGTGGACTTTGGCTTTTGGAAGATACAGATCAAAGATTATCTGTACCAGAAGAAGCTGTATCAACCTCTCTCAGGAAGTAAGTCAGATGACATAAAGGATGAAGAGTGGGCTCTTCTCGACAGACAAGTCCTTGGAGTTATCCGATTGATGTTATCCCGGAATGTTACTTTCAACATAGCAAAGAAAAAGATCACGAAGGGTCTTATGGCGGATCTCTGCAGCATGTGTGAGAAGCCCTCTGCCTCAAACAAAGTTCACTTGATGAGACGGCTGTTCAATTTGTGAATGACGGAAGGCGCATCGGTAGCTTAATATCTTAATAAACTCAACATAGTCACAACCCAGTTGAGTTCAGTTGGGATTGAATTTGATGAAGAAGTACGAACATTGATACTTTTGTCTTCCCTACCAGAAAGCTAGAACGCTACCGTCACGACTGTGAGTAGCTCATCGGGAAGTAACAAGTTAAAGTTCGATGACGTTCGTGATCTGGTTCTTAGTGAAGAGGTCCGACGAAGAGAATTGGGTGAAGCTTCAACCTCCTCAGCTTTACACACGGAGTCTAGAGGAAGAACTTCAGAAAGAAGTTCAAATCACGGTAGATCAAAATCTAGAACAAATAAATCTAGATCGGGAAAGAAAGATTTCAAGTGCTACAATTGTGGTAAGAAGGGACATTTCAAGAGAGTGTCGGACACCGAAGAAAAATACTGGTGCACAGGAGTCTGCCAACATGACCGAGGAAGGAGGTGATGCTATGATTTTAAGCGTCAACAGTCCGATTGAATCATGGATTCTTGATTCAGGAGCATCCTACCATGCCACCCCTTGCCTAGAAATCATGGAGAACTGCGTCAGTGGTGATTTTAAAAAGGTACATCTAGCAGATAATGAAACTTTGAAGATCATTGGCAAGGGAGACATCTGATTAAAATTATCAAATCAGATCACATGGAAGTTGCAAGGAGTGAGACATATTCCTGGCCTTAAAAGAAATTCGATCTCCGTAGGACAGCTTGATCGAGAGGGTTACTGTACAACCTTCTCAGGTCATGAATGGAAAATTACTAAAGGAGCACTCGTCATTGCTCGAGGTAAGAAAAGTCGTACTCTCTATGTAACCTCTAACCTAGAGCATATTGTTGCAGTAACAGATGCAGATGAAAAATCAAACTTATGGCACCAAAGACTTGGTTATATGAGCGAGAAAAGGATGAAGACACTTCTGTTAAAAGGGAAGCTGCCGGATCTAAAGAATGTGGATGTTATCTTATGCGAGGATTGCATCTTTGTCAAACAAAAAAAATTAGTTTTGCAAAGATTGACAAGACACCCAAGGCAGAAAAGTTAGAGTTGGTTCATATCGACGTATGGGAGCCATCTCTAGTTTTATCTCTTGTAGGTTCACTGTACTATGTCACCTTCATTGATGATTCTACAAGAAAGATGTGTGTCTATTTTCTGAAGAAGAAATCAGAAATCAGAAATCTTCAATACCTTCAGAAAATGGAAGGTCATGGTGGAAAATAAAACTGGTTTAAAGATAGAATGGTTGAGGTCAGACAACGGAGGAGAGTACAAAGACAGTAGATTCAAAGAATTTTGCGCAAATAACGAGATCAAGATGGAGAAAATTGTTTCTATGATACCGCAGCAGAATGGTGTAGCGGAGCACATGAACAGAACTTTGAATGAACGTGTCAGAAGTATGAGGATACATGCCGACTTGCCCAAGTCCCTCAGTTCCCTTGGATGATGGAATACCGGAAGAAGCTTGGAGCAGAAAAGAGGTAAACCTTTCGTATTTAAGAATTTTTGGTTGTATCTCTTATGTACACATAAATTCTGCTGAAAGAAGTAAACTTGATGCTAAATCTAACAAATGCGTTTTTGTTGGTTATGATGGTGATGAGTTCGGTTACCGGTTTTAGAATTATAAAAATCGGAAGATCATCAGAAGCAGAGATGTCATATTCAATAAGAATATGATGTACAAAGACAGATCAATTGCAGAATCAAGTAGCTCTATACAAAAGTTGAAAAAAGAAATTTGCTGAATTTGAGGAGATTTCTGAAAATGATGTTCAGACTAGTCCTGAAGTAGTTTAAAAAGAACCAAGCACGCTAGAAGTGAGACGCTCTAGAATTCCTAAGCTAACCCAACGTTATTCGCCTTCTTTGCACTACTTGTTGCTGACTGACAGTGGTGAACCGGAGTATTATGATGAAGCAATGCAGGTGGAGGATTCAGTCAAGTGAGAATCTGCTATGCAAGATGAGATGAACTCGCTTATGTCAAATTAGACGTGAGACTTAGCTGAATTATCACCAGGTAAGAAAGCTCTTCATAACAAGTGGATTTACAGGATCAAAGAAGAGCATGATGAGAACAAACGCTACAAGACAAGATTGGTTGTCAAAGGATTTCAGCAAAAGGAAGATATTGAGTACAATAAAATTTTTTCTCCGGTCGTGAAACTGACTACAATCAGATTGGTGTTAAAAATTATAGTTGCTGAGAATTTACATCTTTATGGTGATTTGGAGGAGGAGATCTATATGAAGCAACCAGAAAGCTTCACAAAGACAAACAAGAAAAATCTAGTATGCCGTTTGAAGAAGAGCTTGTATGGGTTAAAACAAGCTCTCAGACAGTGGTACAAGAAGTTTGACAGCTTTATAGGCAGCAACGATTTCACTAGATGCCAAGCAGATCATTGTTGCTATCTCAAGAGGTTTGTCAATAGCTTCATTATTTTATTGTTATACGTTGATAACATGCTCGTTACAGGATCAGATCTGCAAGAGATTATAAATTTAAAGCAAAAATTGTCAAAGCAGTTCGCAATGAAAGATCTTGGAGCCGCAAAGCAGATTCTTAGAATGAGGATCAAGAGAAACACGAAGTCTGAGACTTTGATGTTATCACAGGCTAAGTACATCAACAAAATACTCTCCAGGTTTAATATGCAAGATGCTAAACCAGTGGGTACACATTTAGGTATTCATTTCAGACTTTCCAAAGAGTAGTCACCATGTATGCCATGGTTTGTACAAGACCAGATATTGCTCAAGCAGTGGGAGCTGTTAGCAGGTACATGAATAATCTGGGCAAGGTACACTGGGAGGCAGTCAAATGGATCCTCAGATATCTACGAGGTACCATAGGTAAAGCACTTTGTTTCAAAGGTGAAGATACAATACTAACAGGTTATGTGGATGCTGATTTAGCAAGAAATGTTGATATCAGAAAGAGCACTATAATGTATGTCTATACTCTAGGAGGTACTGCAGTGAGTTGGGTTTTTCAACTGCAGAAGATAGTTGCTCTCTCCACAACTGAAGCAGAATATGTCGTTACAGAAGCCAGCAAAGAAATGGTTTGGTTTCAAAGTTTCTTGGATGAGTTAGGTAAAAAACAAGAAGACAATGTCTTATATTGCGACAGTCAAAGTGCTATTTATCTAGCGAAGAATCCGTCCTTTCATTACAAAATGAAACACATACAGATGAGATATCATTTTATCCTGTCACTTCTGGAAGATGGAATTTTGAAGTTTGAAGAGATCAGTGGAGCTTAAAATCCCGCAGACATGCTGACAAAGACGGTGACTATTGACAAACTAAAGCTGTGTTCAGCTTCAGTTAGCCTGCAATAATATCAAGACCGGAGAAGAGCTACCGTATAGATCGAGATGTGAAGACAGATTAATATCAGTCTTCAAGTGGGAGATTGTTAGTCAAAAGCAGCCATCGCCCAAAGAAAAACGAGGCAAACTTTTGACAAAGCACCGAAAGAAGAAATGGGCGGGCCCCAGAGCAAGAAAAAACATATAAGCGGGTCCCACCACTAATAAAATATTAGTGTATATTATTTTTTCAAACACTGTAAATAGACCCCAAACTCTTAAGGAAAAACTCATCCTAGAAACAATTCCTCTTATAGAAGAATAAGAGAGAGAAAAGAAAGGCTTAGAGAAAAGGCCTTGTGAGAGAAAACTGTGAGTAATTTTTAGAGTGAAATTGTGTTGTGAGTATTTGTGAGAGTGATTGTAAAATTTTTCCCCTTAGTGAAAGATCTACAGCAGCTCGTGGACGTAGGCAATTTTGTGTCGAACCACATAAATCTTGCGTGTCCTCTTATTGCGTATTTATTCGCTTTTTCGTAAATCTGGTTATAAAGGAATTTGCGTAGTTTCCTAACAATGAGAGTAACCCTTTCTACCACAAGAGAAGAATTCAGGATTCCCCTTTGACCCCATGCAAAAATTCATTTTCTTCTCTGAGTGTAGTTTTTTCTTTACAACAAATAGTTCTCTATTGTGAAGGATTAGTTATTAATATGTACATTTTTTGGTCATGTATATAGTTCTAAAACCAAACTTTTTATATAACTTTTATCACCTTATATTTTCCTTACTATGTTCCGTTTGGGCGAAAAATGAATTCCACATGAGTCGTGTTCATGGTTCTTTTATAGATGCAAATTAACCTAGGAATTTCTAATGCTTTTGGAAGTCATTAGTTTATAGGTGGTTGGCTGGTCATAGCTATAAGCTGTTTCGGGCTCTTTTATCTGATTCTTCCACCTAAGATTTCTTCCACCTAAGATTTGGTATGTTCGTAGGACATTGAAAGTCCTTGAATAAGCTTCTCAATCTTTTAAGAAATGAGAATCTTGGTTGTCTTTTTTTCCCCTTCATTGTGCTATAAACGCTCCTAGGAATACAGTTTGTAATGACTTGCATTGCGATTATGGTTTCTAGTGCACATATATGCATTCAGCATGTCAATTTGATCCTTAATATCCTCCACTTTCATCTTCAGCATCACATTTCTTCAAAAAGTTATAGAAGACAATTTGTGAATTCAATTTTATCTGAGAATTAAGTTCAAAATTCTACTAGAGAAGGCCTTGGCTCGTGGAAAAGTTTTTTTCTGTCCCGTGTCCTGAGTACTACTCTATTTTTCAGTTACTTGTTGTTTTATGACCATTATTGCTATTCTTATGTCTCATCCTAAATCGATCCAATGCTCTTATATACTGAACTAATATAAGTCGAAGTGAAAGCTAGTGGGCAATTCTATACTAGCACAGATGGTAACACCTGAATACCTTTATTCAGGTACCGTGAAGGCCTATTTTCTCTTGAGTTATCTTTCATTTCATCTAACAGTTGATGCAACTTTTCACACAGAAAACCTTTCGACAACTTCACCGAAAGCTAGAGGGCAACCGATCTGATTGGGAATACCCATTTGCTGTGGCTGGTGTGAATATAACGTTCATGCTAATCCAGATGCTTGATCTTCAAATTGGTTTGTGCTTTTCATGGCTATATGTGGCTTATAAATCGATGGAAATATAGTTCAATTTCTCTAAAACCTATGCATCAAAATGACGGACTTTGTAATAGCTTCAGTCTCTTTCAACAAACTAGCGTCCAACGTATAAATAACAGTTACCTTCTTAATTTGCAGTCAAACCAAGGACAATGATGGGGGCAGTTTTCTTAAGGCTACTTTCAGGTATCTAAGCATCTTATTTTGCTCGGACTTTTTTCTTCAAGAATCATGGAATAAGAATTGTTGCTATCATGAAGATTACGTAAAGCATGAAGTAAGCTTATATGTTCAAATCTTTCTCATATAAGGGTGAAACCTGTTATTTCTTTTCTTGGTCCTCTATGCAGTTTTAAAATGTTAAACTCTATATAATAGTTATGAAGTGAAATTCACTTACAAATACTGTATCTAGTTTTCTTTAAAACCTGTTTTTTGCTTTTCTTTAAAACCTGTTGAGGTGAGAGGAGCGATGGACACTAAGAAATATATTGTTATTATTTCTTTAGTGGTACAAACATACTATACTCTCAAATACAAATACTCTCTTTCTCTCTCTCCTTCTTTCTCTCTCTCTCTATATATATCTTTCTCTTTCTCTCTTTACTACTGGGCTCTCTGTTTGATGCTCTAACTCTTCACTATTCTCCTCTATTTATAGCCTTCAAATGGGTTGGTGGAACAATATTTTAGGTTGGTGGAACAGTAATAGGGTTGGTGAGTTACTGTAGCTAGGTAAGTGGGGGGTAGGTGTGAAGCTGCTGATTTCTAACACTCTCCCTCAGTAGCGACATCTCTATCCACAAGTCCAAGAATTCTAACTTCCTTTTTAATGCTTGGATTTTCTCTCTCACTGCTTGTCTCCATTCTTCACTCTCGTATGCTTTTTTGAAGGTAGATGACTCCTTCACGTCTTTCGTAATAACCATATTAGCATACTTGGGATTCGGCTTCATAGGTCTGGTTGATCTTCGAAGTTGTTCAGTTGGTTCTTCTTCGATGTTCTCTATCTGGCTCGGGCGCACTTCTTCTGACGTTGTCTGATAAACACCGATTTTTCATGGATTATTCTCCTTTAAGGATGTTGAAGAGCTTGATTAAGTCTATTCTGATTGACGTAATTCTTCTTCTTGACCTGTCTCTCCCAGCTTCTTTTGTAACTTATCCTCTAGATTACTAGAGTCTGTGAGTGCAACTTCTTGTGAAGCCTACCAAGACGAGGCTTCGTTAAACACAACATTCCTTGATGTGTAGCACCGTCCGGTTATGGGATCACAACATCTTCATCCTTTTCTTTTATTGTCATACCCCATAAATATACACCTTACAGCCTTTTTATCGAACTTGCTGCGTAAGTGATCAGGTATAAAGACATAACATACACAACCGAAAACTCTGAAATGGCTTACGGTTGGGTTGGTATTCCACAACTTTTGAAACAACTTTTGAAATGGTGACATGAACTCTAGTTTTGGTTATAGTAGCTGATTGATCACATGTGCCGCCGTCTTCATACACTCCGCCCAAAAAGGTCCTAGTACGTTCTTGGCATAAAGCATGCTTCGACATATCTCCGCAAGGTGATGATTATTCCTTTCAGCTACGCCATTCTGTTGTGGAGTATTTGGGCAATGTTAGCCGTTGTCGAATCTTGTGTTGCTTCAGGTAATCGTAAAACTCCTTCGATGTGTACTCTCCCCCGTTGTTTGTGTGTAGGCAACGGATCTTTTTGCCAATATCTCGTTTGACTTCTTCTCGAAATTACTTGAATTTGGAGAGTGCCTCAGACTTTTCTTTCATAAAATTAACCCAGACATACCTCGAGTATTCATCGATGAAAGTGATCATGTACCGATTCCTACTAATTGATTCTTATTTTACTTGACCAAATACATCTGAGTGTACAAGCTCTAAAGGTTCATTGGCTCTGAACTGTGACTCCGAATACAGTAATTGATGCGCCTTACCGTACTGATAACTTCCGCATACGGTCTCTCCACAAATATCCAAGTATGCAAGACCCTTCAACATTGACTTCTCCATCACGTGATAGCTCACATGGCTAAGCTAAGTATGCCACAAATCAGCTGTCTCATACTTTTTGGCTTTATCTATGTATGTCAATTCTGCCGACATCACATAGACAGATTCTACATTCCATCTCTCCATGATAGGTTCTCCTGATAATTTTAAATTTCGATAGACTTTTACATCTTGTAACCCAAATACTACATAGTTTTCAGAAGATATTAATTGGAAAACAGATAGAAGATTCTTTTTCATACCCGGTACATGGTATACATCATGTAGTTGTATCTGATTCGGGTTGTAGCACGGCGTAAATGCAGTCTTTTCGATGTGTGTGAGATAATCTTGAATTATTTGCTATCATAACTTCTCGACCGCCTTTATACTCTTTCATGTTGATAAGTTTCCACTTATTTCCCGTTATGTGGTTGGAACAGTCAGAATGACAATTCAATCTTTTTTATAGCTGATTTCTTCTAGATATGAAACAACTGCAAATACGGACTCAGTTTCTTCTACAATTGAGGTTAGTGCCATACTAACAACATCGTCTTTGTCGACTGGTACATCTTCAATGATGGTTACGGATGCTTGGGCATCCCATTCTTCTTCATCATCTGGACATCTGCGCGATGTTGTAGTATTGCTCTCTACAGGCCTCGTCTTGTAGCGACAGTCTCTGGAAAAATATCCTTTCTTCCTACAGTTGTAGCAGCTATCGTCAGGTCTCCTTGCTCGACGATCACCTTGCTCCTCACGCTGTTGTGTTCTATCGTTGTATGACCGTCCTGGTTGTCTCCTTGAACTAGTCTTTCCATACTCCTCTTTCCTCGGGCCTCTTGGTTTGCCTCTCTCCTTGCTGCTGAAGAGTACTTTATCTTCGTTTTTTTATTGAAACGTCGGCCATTTGTTTGGCTAGGGTTTACTGTGTAGCGAGCAAATTCTCCAACTCTAATAATATTGGTTGAGTCGGCCACCTATGTATACAACAACGAGTCCGTGATATTCCAGTCTCAAACCGTGGATGATTATTCTTCTCGTTCTTGCATCAGATACTTTAGAATCTGGATCTAGTTGAGCAATATCTAAACAGAGTGATTTTACTTGCTTGAAGTACTGATTGATTGTCAGATCCTTCTGTTGCAAGGTCATCAATTGATTCTCCAGGAGTTGAAGTCGAGCATTTTTCTTTTTTGAGAAGAGTATTGCGAGCGTATCTCATGCCTCCTTCAGAGTTCTAGCATCTCGCATATAGTCTACAAGATCTTCTTCTACTGTCGTCTTTAGCACATACATAGCCTTGCGGCTTTAATATTCTACTTTCTTAGTGCTTCTCCAGCTTCCCAAGATGCTGTAGTTTTAGCACTCCCGATGACCTCCCAGAGGTCTTGTCCTTATAAATAGGACTTCATATACGTCTCCCAGTAGTTATAGTTATTACCATTGAGTTTCTTGAGTGTAGTAGTCGTATTTGCTAGATCCGCCATCGTGACGTGGTACTGCTTCAGTATCTCCACGCAAGTCTGGTCCCTGACCAACCTACTTCACAGTTCCGGACTAAACACGAGCTTCGGCCTTCAAGAATGCTGACAGGATCACTGTAGGAGAGAGCGGCTCCCGACCGTCTTCTATCACGAGCTGCAACTTCTACTATTTCATGTGAACAGTAACCGTACTTATAAACAGTAACCGTATTCGTGAATAGTAACAATAGTGATGAATAATATCATACTCGTGAATAGTAAGCAGTGTCTTCAAAGGGTAAATGATAATCTAACTTATTTTCTGATGTGGATGATCCATCTTTGGTGACAACCACAAAGCATACGATAAACAGATACACACACCCTAATTCAGGTTTTGATACCACTTATTGAATTGAGAGGAGCGGTGGACACTAAGAAATATATTGTTATTATTTCTTTAGTGGTACAAACACACTATATATATATATCTTTCTCTTTCTCTGTCTGCTACTGGGATCTCTGTTCGATGCTCTAACCTTTCACCACTCTCCTCTATTTATAGTCTTCAAAAGGGTTGGTGGAACAGTGTTTTTGGTTGGTGGAATAGTAATAGGGTTGGTGAGTTACTGTAGCTATGTAGGTATGTGTGAAGTTGTTGGTTTCTACCATGTCTTTATCATAGTCATTTACTGAAATTTATTCCCCTGTGTAGCCTTTTATTCAGATTTACGCAAATGCTTCCTTGAAATTAATTTAAATGGCGAGTTTTAATGAAATGTTTGTGTCTTAGTTAAGTATTTTCAGCTATCAGTGGTTCTCAATATGGATTTTTTTCTTTTGTTATCTTTTAAAGAAGTTCGAATTTGCGTGGTAGGTGATTTATCTAGTATTTCTATAATTTTTCGAGGATATATCTGTGGGTTCTGGTTGCTGAGTAGATTTTGCATTCTGCCATGTAGCCTTGTAGGATTAGCAAAGTGATGATTTTTTTTAAGTGTAATCTGATTTGGTGCGCCTACTTCTTTTTACATGTTATCTTACATGAACTTTATAGTTTATACTAGTCAGTTACCATATATTTTCAGAGACATAACTAGTGATAGGAAGCTATAAAGTTCATCATTCACATAACGTATGATCTCATGTGGATTCTCTCTGAGTCTTCATCATGCTTATGAGGACCGAGAAGAGCCATTAGGTCCATTGTAATGGAAAGATATCAAATCTTTGCATCGGCTTCTTATGTGACTATGCCTTGTGATTATGATGCAGAAAATGAACGAGCCTTTGATGTTCTATACTGCATAACTTTCAAGCTGATGGATCATCTATGGCTAGATATGCGTGCATCATACATGGAGTTCAATGTATGCATTTACTCACTTAAGATAGAAAGATGCAAACTTTGCTGTTGCATTAATTTTCTTAACTCTTCTTTTTCGTCAGATTGAAAGAGAGCTGCTGTTAGAAGACATCCAAAGGATTGAAGAGATGCCGTCCTTTAGTCTTCTTTCTTGGTAGTTATTGTGCTTCAGTTGGCTTTTGGTTGATTTATGTGCTAATTCTCACATTCCATTGTTGTTTTCCACTGGTTTTTGTATTGTGTTCATGTTGTCTGAAATATTTAACGTTTAAAATGTATCAACATTTTTTATTAGAAAGCGGTTGGTATCTTGTGTTGTATCCTTGCTTGAGTTCTTGTGAAGATTCCTGTAATTGTTATCTCAGATGTAGGGAACTGATGAATGAACATGAAATGGGCAGAATGCTTGATTTTGATAATTGAACTCACAAAAGAACAGAGGTAAATATACTGTAGATCTCTCAATAGAAAATCATAAGGGAGCATGTCTTCTTGTATCAGCTTTATAAATTGGTGACTTGCATTTAGTCGTGCATTATATGCACATATGAATACGATCATCGGATTGATTCATGCAACGTCTCCACATATTTTGTGTTTTGTTTTGGACTGATTTTTCTACTTGACATATATTACTTTTTATTGTTAGCATTTTTGGTAAAATTGTGTTAAGGTCCCAACTACGAAAAGCTCATGTGAGTAAGTCCATTGTATTATGGCCCATTGTGCAAACGCCCCAGATACGAAGTATTTATGTGATTCAGCCATTTGTACATTGCAACTCAGTAATGAGAGGGGGAAAAACCCTGAATTACCCTAGCAATTTCCCCCCACAATCAGTAACCGGCCCTATTTCAATTGCCCTCCCCCTTCTCTCTCTTCTCTCCAAAATTCACAGTTAACCCAAAAAAAAAATCCTCCCTTTCCTCCTCCATCTCCTATGTACTTTGAAAAAAAAACCCCTCCTTTCTAAATTTCATTGATAATTTATAGGTTTTTAAGATGCTTTAATCTACACGTTCAATAGCTTGCAAATGGGTAACTATACACCCAATATTGTGGTTATGTTTCGCCTTACACTTCAAATCATCATCATTCTCAATCGTAAAAGTAAAGTTGTCATTGTTATTTTTGTCAAATTTATATATAAAAAAATAAGGCATCATGTGAAACTTTCAACATCTCTAGCACATCGAACGTGAGTTCAAAAAAATATCATACAAGAATTTATACAATCGAGAAAACTGATCTCTCACCTAAATAAACTATGCAAATGAGACCTTTCTCGGCTATTAATGATAAGGGGGTTACGAAAAAAAATGGAGGGGAGTTATGAGAAGTAATGAAGGTTATTTTAGGACATAAGGGAGGTTGAAAAACATAAATTCTAACACAATAAATGAGAGGAAATGAGATGAATTAGGGATCTTTTTTTTTTGAGAAAAGTAAACTTAATCATTCATCGAATCAGTTGAGAGTACATCATAAAGAAAAAGGGGTGGGTAATACGACCAAACAACATGATTTTGTAAAGTTCTAGCGGTCTGTGCTAGAATGTGAGCTGCTTTATTTGCCGTTCTTCTAGTCCAAAGGAATCTGATGTTTGGAATGTTCCGCGCAAGAGAACGACAATCTTCGATGAGTAGCCCAAAGTAGGAATGAATTAGGGATCTTTAGATGAATAAAGTAGAGAAATCGGCAAAATTTCCCTCCAATTTTGTGCATTTAATGCGATCTCATTTCAGCCAGCTTTCTCGATTTGAGAAGATTTGCCAAACATATTTACCGAGGGTGAAAATGGGCTTTTTAGGTTAAATATGATATACAAATTGTATACATGACATGCGGAGGGGCCTTGTCACATTGGAATTCAAAGGTCTTATGCACATGGGTCATAAGTTCATAATAGGTTCGTTAGCGGTCTTCTTTTGCAATGCTCAGCTATTAAGTTTAATTATTAATTTTAATTGAGTTGATATACATCAAGGGGAATTTGCTTGTAGCAACCTCATCTCAAAGAGTCATGACTGAAAACTCCCAAGAAAGAGTCAACTTCTCAAAAAAACTTGGACCCAAACGTAACTTTACACCTCATCAAACTTTGTTCTTCCCTTTTTACCCCTTTTTGGTTCTCAGCTCATTTTCTTCTCAACTCATTCTTCTTCTTTCATCATCATCTTCTTCTCCAACTTCAACTCAAATAATCTGCGAGGATGTGGGCGATGAGAATGGACTGACTCAATTCTCAGCCTAACACTCTAACAGAGAGAACTTAAGCAGGGCATGAATGATAAAGCTCTGATGGCTCAACCATGCCCAAGTATCACAGTCAATGGACGGTGGTGTTTAGTTGGTGGTGTTGCGCGCAGCGGAAATTTCGGCAGCACAACAAGAGAGTCAGATCGCAATAAGAATTCTCGTCTCACCAAGGAGACAAGAATCTGAAGCGGATATCTCAACCAAGTGAGATATCGGCTCTTCTTCTCATCAGTTCTAGGACTGACCTGTCGAGGGATCCTAAAAGCTATTACAAATCACACAAAAGCAGTACAATCAATTTTTACGTGGTTCGGCAAATTGCCTACGTCCACGGGGCAAGGAGGGGGGAGATCTACTAATAGAGAGAGAGATTACAACTAGGGTTTACAATTACTCTCAAACTAAACCCTCAAACAAACTCTCAAATCCCTCACAAAATAACTCTCTACAAAAGGATGCAACAATCCAACTTTTCACCTCTGCAGCCGCAAACCACACCAGCAAATCAACCTCCTGTTCTCTTTGCTGCAGCCGCCTAACACCCAAAAAAAAGCCACCTTAGCTTGCACGCCCCTTGCAGCAACCAATAAAAAAAAAGCTCCTTGCTTTTCACCTTTGCCAACTGCCTCACGCGCCTCCAGTTGCACAAAACCCTAGAATGATTAATAGGGTTTATATATATCACTTTGAGAGGTTCGGGTGGGCCAGGTCACATTCATGGGTATTCTTGCGATCACCTCACGCAAATGCTGTTTTCATTCACGTGGTGGTGGGCCCCCACGTTCACAATTCTCCTGCTCAGTGAAGTTTTCCCAAAACTGAGCCGACACCAAAGCAACCAAAAGTCCCACTTGTTGTGTCCAGTACAAACTCAATCCACAACAAGTTGAGAACCCGAACGAGAGTCCAAACAGTCTCACCCCCATCAAAATCAACTCACCACACCGGCTGCATCATAAAGACTGCCTACGTATCCTCTTGCTCAAGGAATCAAGCCGCCCGTAGTTCATCCAAATGGCCGCCAATGGCCTCAACAATCACAAATATACAACAAGCTTCGACAATGATCAAATTTGTTGCTCGGAACCACCTTTGTGAGCATATCCGCCGGATTATCCTTCGTGTGGACTTTCACAATTTCCACATCGCCATCTTCAAGAACATCTCGAACGAAGTGATAACGAACGTCAATGTGCTTCGTCCTCGCATGAAAAACCTGATTCTTCGCCAAATAGATAGCACTCATACTATCACAATGAATAGTGACGGACCTCTGCGATATACCAAGTTCCTCCAAAAGTCCTCGAAGCCAAATAGCCTCCTTCACAGCCTCCGTAACTGCCATATACTCTGCCTCCGTCGTAGACAAAGCCACCGTCGACTGTAAGGTGCATCTCCAACACACCGGCGCACGGGTCAAAGTGAACACATACCCCGTCGTAGACCAGCGCTTATCCAAATCCCCGGCATAATCCGAATCAACATAGCCAATGCATAGCTGCCCACCTGTAGTGTCCCGCTCATAAACTAAACCAACATTGAGCGTACCTCGAATGTACCTCAAAATCCATTTCACGGCGTCCCAATGACCCACTCCTGGATCATGCATGTATCTCGAAATCATGCTTATCGCCTGTGACAAATCCGGTCTCGTACATACCATTGCGTACATCAAGCTCCCAACAGCGCTCGCATATGGAGTCTTCGACATCAACTCACGATCTTCAACTGACTTTGGTGAAAGACCAGCTGAAAGCTTCAAATGGGCTCCCAAAGGTACACCAACTGGCTTCGTATCCATGCTAACATGGAATCGCTGTAGAACTTTCTTCAAATAAGCCACCTGTGTCAAACAAATTCTGCCCTTCTTCTTATCTCTGCCGATCTCCATCCCTAGAATGCGCTTCGCCTTACCCAAGTCCTTCATCTCAAACTCATTTGAAAACTGAACTTTTAACTCATCTATAGCCGACCTGGAAGTAGAGGCAACCAACATGTCATCGACATAAAGCAACAAATAAATGTACGCACATCCTCTTAACTTGCGAAAATACACGTAAGGATCAAACTGGCTCCGAGTGTACGAATGACCAATCATAAAACCATCAAATCGCCTATACCACTGTCGAGGAGACTGTTTCAAACCGTATAGCGATTTCTTTAATCTGCAAACTAATTTTTCCTTCCCTGCAGCTCGGAATCCCAATGGCTGAGTCATATATATTTCTTCATCAAGATCACCATGAAGAAATGCCGTTTTCACATCCAACTGATCTAATTCCAAACCATACTGTGCCACCAAAGCTAGCAAAATCCGAATCGAAGAATGCTTCACCACCGGAGAGAAAACCTCATTATAGTCAATACCTTCCTCCTGTGCATAGCCCTTCACAACCAACCTAGCCTTGAACGCCTTGTTAATCCGCTTCGTTGCGTGTCACTTGGCTTCGGTGTTGTGGACTGGCACTCGTGTTTGGATATGTCGCCCGATGGTTCGTCGGTTTGTGCCGAGCTGTGCTAAGGGACCTATAGGCAGATCTCCTCCTGCATAGCCACCTGCCACGAATCAGCTTCCGAACTCTGCTCGGCCTCTCTGAAAGTAGTAGGTATCATCTCATCGATACTCTCCACCGGAAGTGCATACGCAACTGTGTCGGCATACCGTGCTGGCATCTGTATGTTTCTCCTCTGTCTCCGAACCGCAATAGGATCCTGAACCTGAGCCATCGGTTCCTGATCCTGCACATTTGTACTCGTATCCTCCTTGTCACCGTCGTGCTCGCCTGGCGTCACCTCAGTCAGCACTCTAATGGATACTGTACCATCTGG